GGGGCCCCACCTGGAGAACCAGACCTGAGAAACAACATCAACTGGTTGGAGCTCAGAGCCATCCATCTGGCTCTCCGCCACCTCAAGGACATGGTGACCGGACATCACATCCTAGTCCTGACAGACAATGTAGTGGCCAAGGCCCACGTGAACAGACAGGTGGCACTCACTCCAGGGCTCTTCACGACGAGGCGCTGCGACTGGGGAACTGGGCAGAGAGGCACCTGCTGTCCATTAGAGCGGAACACATCTCCGGAACAGAGAACCATCAGGCAGACTGGCTCAGCAGGGAGATGGTCGACAACGAGGTGTGGCAGCTCCATCCCTCAATCTTCCGTCAGATCTGCGAGAGGTTCAGTCACCCGACAGTGGACCTGTTCGCGACACCGCAGAACCCCCAGCTGCCAGAGTTCGTTTTGAGGTTTCCGACCAGGGGACCCATGGACGCAGACACTCTTTGATGCAGATGGCCACCAGGTCTTCTCTACGCCTTTCCCACCCTTCCCCTCATCCCCGGGGTTCTGAGGAGGGTGGTAGCGGAGGGAGCAGAAATGATAATGGTGGCTCCCTTCTGGCTGTGCCGACCCTGGTTGGTAGACCTCGTGGAGCTATCCACAGCCCCGCACTGGAGGATCCCAGTGGGGGAGGTGACATTGCACCAGGGGTCTCTGGAGCATCCAGAGTGGTTTCATCTGACCGTCTGGCAATTGAGCGGGAACAATTAAGGGAGGCCCAATTCTCCGAGAGTGTCATCAGGACAGTAGAGGCATCCAGGAGACAGTCAACCACATGCATCTACAACGCTTCCTGGGTGTCCTTTGCAGACTGGTGCCGAGTTAAAGTCCTCCGCCCAGCTGCAGACTCGGTCCCCCAGGTCATAAGAAGGGCCTGGCCACCAGTACTCTTAGACGTCAGGTCTCCGCTTTCTCTATGGTTCTGGGGGGGGGGGTGAATGCTCCTCCATTGTCCCAACATCCGGTGTTAAAGAGGTTCCTCAAGGGGGCGGGGAATCTGAAACCCTCAGTGGTCCATCGATTCCCCACCTGGGACCTTCCCACGGTACTTCAGGCCCTCACGGAAGCACTGTTTGAGCCTCTGAAGGAGACCTCCCTTCAGCTCCTAACCCTCAAGGTTTTCTTCCTGGTCGCCATCATCTCAGCCAGGAGAGTTTCTGAGATCAATGCCCTCTCCAGCAGGGCGGACCTCTGTACCTTCTTAGATAACCGGGTCATCCTCAGGCTTGACCCCGCTTTCATGCCCAAGGTTAATTCCTCCTTTCACAGGGCCTTGGAAATCATTCTTCCGGACTTCTGTCCTCATCCCTCCGGTGAGAGGGAGAAATCCTGGCACAACTTGGCTGGATGTCAGAAGGGCCTTGCGCATATACCTGAAGCGCACGGCCCCCTTTAGGCGCTCGGAGGCTCT